GTACTGTGTACAATTCTGGGCGCCCTACCATAGGAAAGATGTTATTAAACTGGAAAGGGTGCAAAAAATATTTACAAGGATGCTACTGAGACTGGAGAGTTTGAGTTATAAGGATCGGCTGGATAGACTGGGACTTTTTCTCCAAGAGCGTAGGAGGCTGAGAGGTGACTATAGTGGTTTCTTAAATCATGAGGTGCATAGATTAGGTGAATAGTCAAGGTCTTTTTCCAAGGTTATGGGAGTCAAAAACTAGAGGGCATAGGTTTGTGGTGAGAGGTTAAAGATTTAAAAGGGACCTGAGGTTAACTTTTTCACACAGAGGATGGTGCATATGTGGAACGAGTTGCCAGGGAAGTGGTAGAGGTGGATATAATGACAACGTATAAAAGACATTTGGACAGGTACATGGACAAGAAAGGTTTAGAGGGATATGGGTCAAATGCGGGCAAATGGGTCTAGATCAGTTTAGGAAACCTGGTCGGAGTGGACAAGTTGGACTAAAAGGCCTGTTTCCCTGCTGTATGACTCTGTAAGTCTATGACTCTAAATAGAAACAGCATTTGTTTCATTTTTCTCTATCTTCCCTTGCTCATCTTCACTTTGGATAAAACCATGAAAATAGCAATCCTGAGATCAGAAGCTAACGATATGGGCATAAATAGATTTGAGGCCTTGACCTTTCATTCTTTTGCAATGATTTACAGCACCAGTGTATTATGCTATAGCGCCACCTGTCAACCTTATTCATAGCAAGTGTTTTTAACAAATCTTTGGACTCCCATGAAGTACTTTAAGGGTATTTTTGTGTTAAAGGTGCTAAGTAAATCAAACTGTTGTATATATCTGTGTTATTAAGTTACATTAAATTCCTGATTTGTTTGTTTGGTGATGGCTATAAATTGTATCTTTTGTAAGTATTGCAGGCATTTCTCAGCACTACATTCCTTGTACAGTATTAAGAAGTTTATTTATTAAGAACACATTGAGTTTGAAGTTTATCAGGGGGCCTCACCTCTGCCACCTGTTCCAAACCTGCTTGATATTCAACCAATGGATTGAAATCCATTTAGCTCAGTACCAAGTAAGCTGTATAACAGGTAATCCATACTAGATCAACTTCTATTGAAAGTGTTGTGTTATACAGCACTGAGACTTATTGATAAGCTGTTATTGTTAATACAGGGAATTGGTGAATCTGGATCAAACTTTCAATCATCATTCTGTCAAACTATTTCAAAATATTTAATGAAAGCATTAATTGAATACAATTAAAATTGGGAGCATATTTTGATTCATAAATTACTGCATCTCTTTTCTATTTAGCAGAGAGTAGTGGAAAGTTTGCTTGTCAAAAGAAAGGTCCTGACCCGAAACATCTACTTTCCTGCTGCTCTGATGTTGCCTGGCCTGCTGTGTTCCTCCAGCTCCACACTGTGTTATCCTTTCTAAAATACTAACTATTCTTGCTCTAATATTTGTCTTTTTTATCCAATGTTCTCTAATTTTGTTCATCTCTTCTCCTATGTCATTGACACTTGTTGACTTGTGGCTAATGGTACAAACTATCCACTTGCTCAGATAGTCAATTGTCGGCTTATAGTATTATTATCAACAACCAAATCACAGCACAGACAAACTGGACCCTTTTCCCACTCATAAGAACTTAACTTTTATTCAGCTAGGGCCAACCACAAAGTCTTTTTAGCTTCAGTTAGAAAATGTGTTGAGAGTAAATAGATGCCAAAGACATTTTTGTGCACACCACGCGCATCAAGTGATTATTTCTGCAGAGGAGGAAAGGAGGTAAACCGAATGATTGAGCTATTTTTTAATCAGATTGCTGTATATTTGATTTATCTCAAAGCAATGTAGAGTTTGCATCTTCTAAATCGAAACAGTGTATTTACAGAACTTGGAGCATCTTAGAACTTGGAAAAACAATTTCCAAATCGCAACACAGACTTAACCACATCAGCAAACATAACCAATTAATCAAACCTAGATCAATGAAACTATTGAACATTGCAGATTGTATAGGTGGCACACAGCTCACATTTCGCTGCACCTGAGAAAGTTGGAAGCTAATAGCTGGAATATCTCAAAAGCCCATTCACACATGTTAATCATAGAATTATGGGATGTTTACAGCATAGAAGGAAACCATTCAGCCAGTCATGTCCATGCCAGCTCTCAGCACGAGGAGCTCACCTAATCCCATTCCTCCACCTTTTCTCCAACAGCACTGCAAATTTTCTCTCTTCTGATCATGATCTAATTTTCTTTGGCAATCCACATCGAATCCTATTCTATCTGACTCATAAGCAGTGCATTCAGATCCTAACCTTACCGTGTAAAAATGTTTCTCCCTTATGTTGCCATTGCAACTTTTGCCAATCACTATAAATCGGTGTCCTCTGGTTCTCGATCCTCCCACCTACAGAAGCATTGTCCACTCTGTCAAGAACATTTATGGGTTTGAACACCTCTATCAAATCTCTTTTTAACCTTCTCGTTCCAAGGAGAACAGAGCTAGGTTCTCCAGCCTATCCACGTAACTGAAGTTCCTCATTCCTAGAACAAGTAAAAATGTTTTTGTAGACTTTATTCACCTATAATAATTATTTTGTCCTCTCAGCTCTTGGCAATGTTTTATGTGAATCAAATTCAGTTCGCTCCTGAAAATTGCCTGATGGATTATCCTATTGGAAATCATTTTACATGCATGCATTGGAGCAAAATGAGAGCAGCATTTGAAAGTTGTTTACCAATTGAACCACAGCTTATCTCTGAGCTACAGTCATGGGAGCAGCCTGATCACTTGAAACAAGCGATGTATTTTCCCATTGCTGCTCTGCACAATGCTTATCAACACATCAGAAAGGATTCACAGTTAGAAAATGCATGTCCCATCCGCTACTTGAAACCAAGTGGCATTAGGAATGTTTCTTCAAATTCAGTCATCTACAGGTAAACTTCCTGCAATACTAATGCAATATTAGTTAACTACTGTTGTTCTACAGCACATGGACTGCAGCAGTTCATGAAGGCAGCGCACCACTGCCTTCTCAAAGGCAATTAAGGACAGGCAATAAATGCTGGCCCAGACAGCAACACCCACATCCCACGACTGAATGAAAAATAATTCTGCAGCTCTGGGAGCACATAAACATACTACAGGGCTTTTCAGGTGGAAACGCATCCTTTTCTTAACATTCATTCACAGGAGGAGGGTATCACTGATAAAGCCAACATTTAACGCCCATGACAACAAGGTGCAGGGCTGGATGAACACAGCAGGCCAAGCAGCATCATAGGAGCAGAGAGGCTGACGTTTCGGGTTTAACGCCCATTGCTAATTTCCCAAGAGAAGGTCTGAAAAATAAAAGGACAGAACAGACATAGCTCCCTTGTGTCCTCCCTGATTTATGACAACAATATTCAAACCAGAAATATCTCCGAGCAGGACAGGCAATGTTTAAACTAGTTTACACCATTGCTAAATTCAGGGCTCATTTTCATCTTCTGAGAGGATACAAAGCTGAGGCCAGCAGATTGTTTTCCCATTACAAAACCGGAAATAACTATACAGAGGCTGGCATCTCATCACCAAGTTATCCTTTATTTACACGTGCACAGTACATGGACTCTGACCAGTGAGCTCAGAGCCAGTTGCTAGCGTGCGGAGAATCCCTGAGATTCCTGTTTACATCTGTCAGTGAGGACTCCCTGATTAGCCCCAGTCAGGGAGCTCATACTCAATGAGATCCACCAGGCCAACCTTGTTTCATCATTACAACACCCCATCCCAATCTATAAGCCATTGAGTTCAGGAGAACAAAAATAGAAGAGGTGCAAAACAGACAAGCTACTCTTTCCGCCAATTCTGTCTCCCTGCCATAGTTTGAGTAAAACATAATTTCGGGGTTAGGAAAGCAATGGCCACAAGAGGGTGCTAATGTTCCAGTTGACAATCTAATAAATCTAATAATCATTCTCTGCCACTTCTGGCACCTGCAATCTGACCCCACTACCAAGGATATATTTCCCTCCCCACCCTTATCTGCTTTCCAGAAGGACTGCCCTCTCCGTGACTCCCTCGTCCACTCCACACTCCCCTCTAGCCCCACCACACCCGGCACTTTTCCCTGCAACCGCAGGAAGTGCTACACCTGCCCCTACACCTCCCCCTCACCCCCATCCCAGGCCCCAAGAAAACCTTCCACATTAAACAGATGTTCAACTGCACATCTGCTAATGTGGTATACTGTATCCGCTGTTCCCGATGTGGCCTCTTCTACGTCGGGGAAACCAAGTGGAGGCTTGGAGACCGCTTTGTGGAACACCTACGCTCAGTTCGCGACAAATGACAAAACCTCCCAGTCGCGAACCACTTCAACTCCCCCTCCCACTCATTGGATGACATGTCCATCCTGGGCCTCCTCCAGTGTCACAACGATGCCACCTGAAAACTGCAGGAACAGCACCTCATATTCTGCCTCGGAAACCTACAACCCAATGGTCTCAATGTGGACTTTACCAGCTTCAAAATCTCCCCACTCCCAACCTCATCCCAATATCAGCCCCCCTCCATCCCCGCCTCCTTGACCTGTCCGTCTTCTCTCCCATCTATCCACTCCTCCCACCTCACTGACCAATCCGCACCTCCATTTCCTACCTACACTCACCTCTACTAGCTTCATCCCCGCTTCCTTGACCTGTCCGTCTTCTCTCCACCTATCTGCTCCTCTATCCACCTTCTATCATCACCTCCCTCTCTCTCTATTTATTTCAGAGCCCCTTCCCCTCCCCCATTTCTGAAGAAGGGTCCAGACCCAAAACTTCAGCTTTCCTGCTCCTCTGATGCCGCCTGGCCCACTGTGTTCATCCAGCTCCACACCTTGTTATCTTATAATTAATTACAATATCCATTTTCCTGTTTCAATATGATGGCATGCACCATTATCGGAGCACGTCTTACACTGCAGGCAGTCAGTACCTACCTCAACAGGATATGATGTCTTAACCCCATGATTTACTGGGCAGTCTGAAGCATCAGTGATAGACATCAGGTGTATCATACTTAGCCTCCCAATAATACTATGGGCAGAATCTGTCTGGAAATGGGTTAAGTGTCATTTTTAATCTGGCTTCATGGAGGCTTTTCTCCATGAGGCCTAGCAAGGTGTCTAACATAATTGTCTCAAACTAACCTCATTAACTAGATAAGGGGTGTTTAAGAGAAGGACTTTATTTCTCTACAGCACAGAGCCTACATAGCATTCACTGGGTGCACTTTCTAAATGGCATTCAATCAGGTGCCACATGAAAGTATTACAATTGATTCCCAGGTGAAGGTCCCCAATTCATCCTGATTCCAGAAAGGATATCCCCCAATGATGATGCTGTGCAGTGAGGAAGGATGAACTGTCCCATTATTCAGCAACTCCCTTGCTTGGTAGCAGCCAGGTCAATTTAAAGCAGGATCCCTTCCCTCATGGATACCTTTTCCCAAACCAAATGTGTTTATCTTTTAAAAAGAGGCAATTTAACACGGTTTTCTTAAGTTAAAGAAGAAGTGAGTTTATCAGCTACTAAAACATGTGGAAATATAAGAAAACACACAGATTAGAAACAAGAAGTGTGTCCAAAAGGTAAAATTTAAAAAATGACTATATGAATCAGTCTTTGGCTTGACTATGATGAATAGATTGAGACATGGTGATTACCGTAACACTGACTTTGGAAGCTAGGTTGTAGATTGGAGACCCTTGGCCTTGCAGTTAGCTGAAAGGATTTGTCCAGTTTCCTCCTAAAGTGGCTTTGCTGATTTGACTAGTTTTCAGCTAGCAGTAAAGGGATTCTGCGCAGAATCTCACAGGGGTCTGAATGACAGGGGCAATGATGGGAAATCTGAGAGGATTATGTGAGAGGCCTGTCTCAATGTCAGGAGCAACTAGGTACATCTTCTGTCAAGACAAGATTCTCACTAGGCAACAGTGAGATGTCTATAAATGGGGATTTTTGCATGTTAACAGCCTCATTAGCACTGAATCGCACAACTCCCATGATGAACACCCATTCTACCATGAAGAAACTAGATGCCAACGGTTCCCAATATGGAAGTCAGAGCGGGCAGCTAGGTGACTCCAGCTCACCACTAGAGCCTCTGGGTCTCCAACTTGGACATCTAGCAACAACGTCTCACGGAAAGCTCTAGGGCACAAGTTGCATGCACCTCTTGTCTAGGACACTGGCATCCAACACGTGCCAGCCTCTTGGAACACTCATGGCACCTCACTGATTCCTCCCTCATGGCATTGTGGGTCTAGCTACAGCACATGGACTGCAGTGGTTCAAGAAGGCAGATCACCACCACCTTCTCAAGGGTGAGAAATCCCAGCCAGCAATGCCCACTTACTATGAGTGAATTTAAAAGAAATGCAGCATGCTTCTTGCACCCCAGGGCAAGAGGAGAAAGATTTTAAAAGGACATCAGAGGCAACCTTTTTACACACAAAATGCTCTAAGTGTGGAACGAACTGCCAGAGAAAGTGGTGGATGCAGGTACAGTTACTACATTTGAAAGACATTTGGATAGTACATGAATAGGCAAGGTTTGGAGGGATATGGGACAAACAAAGGCAAGTGGGACTAGTTTAGTTTGGGAACATGATCAGTGTGGATTGGTTGGACCAAAGAGCCTGTTTCCATGCTGTACGACTCTTTGACTCTATAACTGTTTTAGTCCATCACTCTAACACACCAGGGGTTACAGTTATTTTTTCTATCTCCCTTCTTTTGTTTTCCTGGAAGGGTAAAACACAAACATGAAAAAAAGCAAAAAGCTGCAGGTGCTGGAATACAGAAATACAAACAGAAATTGTTGGGAGAAGTCAGCAGGTCCGGCAGGATCCAAGGAGAAAAAGCAAAGTTAATGTTTCAGATCCCGTGACCCTTCTTCAGAATCAGACATATCCTTTGTCTGGAACTGCCTATCTTTCAATGCATATCATGTTTGCAATCTAGGACACAACACACAGGAGATGGTTTTCTTCTGAGAGGGGTAATCAGCCTCTCATAATCTCTGTAACCATATGGGATCACAGTTCAGGTTTATGAATGAAAATCTCTCCCTTTGATGTTTTGATGAAGTGCCCTTGACATTCGTCAGGTGCAACATTACATGGCTCACCTCAGGACTCGGCGTAATCCACCCACCCACTGAATGTATATTCTAAGCTATCTTTTCACTGATCTGTCCTTAATTTACATAGCAAGTGTGATACTTCAAAGTTCAATATATCCTTACATTTTGGGTTATGATCCATTGTTATGTGCACAAGGGAAGAGCTAATGGTATTGGATGATACCTTAGCATGATTGGCTAACCAGCAGGAAACAGAGGCCCAGATCTGTGCTACTTCCAATCCTGATTGGACCGTAACCCCTGGCCTCTGTAAACTCGGCTGCTGGGGTACCCATGTACCTAAAACGTTTGGTTAAAGGTCCACTGTGCTAAAGTGTGCTGTGAAGGGACACAGCTGAGAACTTTCAACTAGACACACTGCATATGCAGGTAAAAAGATATAACATCTCTCTTTCTCATCACACCTACTTAGACTTATTGTTATAGTGGAATATATCATTATGTAATCTAAGAACAGTGCCTCTTCTGCAGATAGTCTGCAATGATGTAACCCACACCATGAATGTGAAGTTGTCTTAACTACGCTCCTAACTCCTACTAAATTCCTTTCCGTACTCCTGGCTGCATACTGCTCCTATTTTAATGTTTTCACCCTTGATTTACTATCACTCATGGTTTTGCTGCACACTACTTTGGCAATCTCCTCCATCACTACAACCCTCTTTAGCACTAGCTAGGCTTAAAGTAAAATAAAAATGACAGAGGATTAGTAGCAATGAGCTACATCAAGCAACCCTTACATACTGCTAATAACACAAGATACTAGCTGTGGTCAAAACATGAAAAACACAGGGAAAGGGAATAAAACTGAGAAGAATTAGAAGGAAGTAGGTAATGAAATTGAACAACAAAAATAATGTATCATCTTTAAGAACAGCATGGGACAGCACGGTGACTCAGTGGTTAGCACTGCTGCCTCACAGCGCCGGGGACCCAGGTTCGATTCCAGCCCTCGGGCAACTGTCTGTGTGGAGTTTGCACATTCTCCCCGTGTCTGTGTGGGTTCCCTCCGGGTGCTCCGGCTTCCTCCCACAGTCCAAAGATGTGCAGGCTAGGTGGATTGGCCATGCTAAATTGCCCATAGTGTTCAGGGATGTGTAGATTAGGTGGGTTATAGGGGGATGGGTCTGAGTGGGATGCTCTGAGGGTCAGTGTGGACTTGTTGGGCCGAAGGGCCTGTTTCCACACTGTAGGGATTCTATGATAATGTGTTCACAGCAGCATTATCAAACACAACTTGACACTGAGACAGAAAAGGAGATATTAGGAAAAATAAACAAAAGCTCAGTGAGAGGGTTAGGTTTTAAGGCGCGCCTGAACAAGGAAAGAGTAGGAAGGGGGTTAGAGAGATTAGGTAAGGAATTTCATCGCTTAGAGACTTGACAGCTGATGAAACAGTTACCAATGGTCCAATGGTTAATGTCAGGACCACTGAATTGTAGGAGCACAGATATCTGGAATGGTTGTAGTGTTGGAGGTGATTACAGAAACATTGTAAATTTTAAATTTGGGATATTATTCAAACCATGAACCAATATATTTCAGTGAGTACAGGAATGCAAAAAGGTATTTGGTGGAGGTTAGGACAGGTAGCATATTTTTGGAGAGTGATCACTTTGTGAAAGGTGAAAAATGTTAGAGTGGTCAGCAGTACGTTGGAATAGCGCAAGGTAATAAGGAACAGTGACAAATTTTGGCAATATTATGGCGATGACAATTGGACTTAGAGATGGTGTAGATATGGACATGAGGAGCTGAGAAATTCATATCAGAGTCAAATATGACACCTATGTTGTAAACAGTCTGATTCAGCTCAGAACTTAATAAAGTTCTTAGACACTGTTAAAAGATAATGGAGCTTTCTACTCTGTATGCTCTTTATTCTTCCAATAACAAGGAAAAATACTATCTAACCAGAGAGGTCTTCTTCACTCAAATAAAAAAAAGGAGTTGAAAATTAGCTGATGATTTATTTGTCTCAAATTTGTTTGCAAGTTTCAACTATTTGAATGAGTGTAAACAATTTCAACATTTCTTTCAGGTCACATGGGTGAATAAAAAGCCTTTGGCATGGCAGGCATTTCAAATTTTTTGTTCATTGTCTCTTACAAAAATAAAGTTACTGTTTCACCTATATCGAAACTGAAGTCGTTCTCAGGAATTGAAACTGATATGAATCTTTTGAAATGAGGCCAGATCTGCTGCATACAATATCCCACAGGGTTGCCAGTTTGTCATTTAACATTGTTTTCAACTCTAGTCACGCGATCGCTAGATTGTCCACCAGATTCTCCAAGAGATTGCAGTAAGGTAACTTCCAACTTTTGGTGATGAATTTGTTATAATCTGTGAATAACTGGTGATGAAGAATGAAACCTACTAATTTAAAAACAAAGTTACTTCTAATTTTCATAATGCAGTCAGAGTGTAAGTAGGAGTGTCCGATCTTTGTGTTGCTTGTTTTAATATGTTTTTTAAATTGTCTCTGCATTTCCTCTCCATCTCCACTCAGACAACTATTGTTCTTTTTTCTTCTGGTATCTTGAAGCCACTTATGCTTTTCTGGTCTATGATGATACAGATATCAGTTGTGCACCACTTTCTCAGTTTTTAACTCAGATTGTGAGCATCACTGAACCACCTAAATACACTCAGCCTCATGTTACTCTCATCCAGCGTAAGATTTTCACTTGTATACTATTTGTAACAAAGTCTCAAAATGTGTTATTCAAAAGCAAATTCTTGGGTCTGCTGTGCAATGCACAGAGGGAATCTCCCCCATCCCAACTTCCAGGGGAAGGTGCTGCATAGGAGTCTGGGCTAGAAATCCTGTCTGATTTCCACCTTCCAAACTAAAAGATACTGAGGCCAGTTGTGATATCCATATCATTTCACAGTTCTGCCAAAGGGTCCATGGACTGAAAAAACCTCTGATTTCCTCTCCATAAATGTTGCTAGTCTTTCTGAGTTTCTCCAAAACTTTCTGCTTTTGTTTCAGATTTCCAGCAAATGTAGCTCATTGTTTTATTGCCTAGATGCCACTTGGCATGAAAAAGAAATAAAATGTGAAGAAAGACCTGAGAAACAAGAACAGTTTGCAAACAGCAACCTCTCCTGCAGTGTTAGGGGAACCTGTGTTGTATTATGTTTAGGAAAAGCTCACATCCTGTCAGTTGTCAGCATGTAAATTTTCCAGGAGATGTTGCTACATTCAAAGAGGAATCAGAAGCTGCTGACATTCTAAGGAAGTTGGCAGCTAATGTCTTGAGCAATTTTTCTGCTGCCTTGGGGGTTGACAGCAATTAACTTGGCATGAGCCGAAAATCAAAACCTGTGTTTTTTCTCGTCTATTTGCATTAGTTAACCCTTTCCTTCTCAGCCTAGTCTTAGGGACAGCTGGCATTTTGATTTTGTATTGTTTAACTGGAACAATTACGATAAGGTTTCATCGAAATTCAAACCAAGATTAATTCTCGATAACTGAAGTGATTTGTTTCTTTTGAGTTGGTGCCAGCTGGGCCCACCTTTAAGACCCAAATCCTTGACTAGATCTTATTCACTGTAACTTTCTTCCTGTAATTTACAATCTTTGTCCCCTTTGCCCACCCAAACCTTAGTGACATACAATGGCAATTCCATGAGAGTGATTACTACCCCAGACCTTCATTTTGAGTTTGCTTGGTGAGTCCATAAAGTTAATGGATAATATTTCTGCCTTATCACCATCACCCATTACCAAGAAGATGTAGGGTTTGAGACATAAAAATGATTCATAGACTAAAGAAAATTAACTCTTCATTCAACAAAAACAACAAATCAACAGATTCAAGGACTGCTTCTTGTCTGCTGTTATTTGACTTCTGAATGGACCTCTCAAATGTTAAATTTAATGTTGATCTCACACTGTATGCACCTTCCCTGCAACCATAATACTGTATTCCTCGCTCTGTTCTGTTATCCAAATGCACTTTGTATGGTATGGTCTGCCTGTACTGCACACAAAACAAAACATTTTACTGTATCTAGGTACGTGTGACAATAAAAAATCAAATCAAATCAAATCAAAATGCTCAGATAAAGGCAGTAGAAGCTGTGATTTGTAGAAAAAGGTCAAAGGACAGGAAAGTTCTCAAAACTTGTGGTAAAAATAATAAATCCTTTTGAGGATTAAGTGTAATGGGATCAAGAAAGGAACTGTTGAAGAACAGTTATTACAGGATCCTGAGAGCAGATTCAGGTGAACTCATTCCTATCTTAAGGATTCCTTTGCAGCAGTCTTCACTCCTCTGCATTGTTCAGTTACTATGAATGCAATGCAAGTATCAAATTGGATTCAGATGTAATCCAAGAAAAAAATAAGGGCCCTAAATAAGATTGGGCAGCCAGTCTTGACAACTAATGCTCAAAGTGATAACACCTGTACATGATTCACTTGCTTACAAAGTGCCCATTTCACCAAAGTCACTGATTGTCCAAGGATTAGAGGAGAGCATCATGCACAATCTTAAAAAGACCAGACATAAGGCCACACCAAATTAATCCACCAACCTGTTTACATGAGCTACAAGGGCTTGTTACAACCTCAAAAACAGCTCACCAGTCACATTGAAGAGCAAGATCAATCACCTGGCTCTCTATTCAAGATCCGAGATAAAACAGTGGGGGTAAGAGAATGGCAATAAGTCCTGATTGGCAGTTGGTCACAGTTTTAATGTGATTTTCAGAGTGAACCAAATTCTGGTTTAAGTTGTAAATCCATACCATTTATTAGCATGTTAGCCTGTTCTAGACTCCCACACAGTGCCTGAATCTGTTTGAAATTAAATGTTTAGCTGTTGATGTGTGATCATTGAGTGACACAATTAATGCATAATACAGGTTCACTAGATCTGGAAATTCAAAAGAAATTTCCTAACTTCTTTAGTGGTAAGAACTTGGAACCTGCTACCACAGAGAGCAGTTGTAGCAAATAGATAGATTTTATGGAAGGGGAGGCCAGACAATTATAGCAGCGTGAAGGGAGTCGAGGATTATGCTGGTAGATTTAGATGGGAAGTGATGAGACGAAGCTCAAGTGAAGCATAAACACCAGCATGAACTGTCTGGGCTGAATAGTCTCTATCTCTGCAGGATATGCTATATAATTATCCCCTACGAGATGAACTGACTGACATCATGTACATAATTTCCATATGCATGTAAACCATTCACATTGTAATATTATCTCTATTATCACTCCCTTTTGGTCAGACTGTTCTCATTGGAAACTAAATCTAGTGTATTTTATACAATTCAATCTGCTCCCTCGCAATTCAATTTATTTGAGAAAAGTTGATATTATACAGAATGCATGTTTTCAGAAGACAAAACTCTTGACAAAAGAAAAGTTGGACGAAGCTTTTAATTTAAAAAGTTCCATACATATGCACATAATAAAATCTTAATGAGAGGCTTCACTAGTGGCTCTGTGATTAAACAGACTCAAGCTATGAGTCAGACACATTTTCTATCACTAGCTTATGGTTCTTGTTGGAAAGAATGTGGGATAAAAATCTGTGTTGGGGACCTCAAGGAAGACCATCTTGGTCCTAATCATTCAATCATCTCTAATGTCAAATATCTCAACTACTCATATGCAGAAAGTAGTCACTCATTCATTTTCTGCCAAGAGCAACTCTATTTTGACTATGAAAGCTTTAACCAAGCTGGTTTTTATCTCCTGGTGGTGATTTTCCATCACTTTTCATGTTTAAGGGTAGGATGAGGATGCAGGGTTCCAGTCCAACTTGTTCAGAATGAGAATCAGATCTGTACTAGTTTCAAACCTAGTTTTATTCTGAACCATAAGCTAGTCATGCAGAAGAATGGACCGTGGAACTATAATCAATGTGGGAGGAGGGAAAAAAACTTCAATGAGTACAACATAATGGGGTTTACTGTATTTTACAGGTAGAAATATTGTGTGAAATGCAAACAATCCACTCTTGATCATCCACCATCTAACTTGAGTATGTTTCGTGGAGCATTTGGTTTCTTCATTTCCTACCTCTTATTTTCAAGCACAACTGCAACTTCAGGTGAGTAGATATATTGCCATGAAATGATACATTATTACAACTTAACTAACCAAAAGAGACATTAATTTATCCACTTATTGACAATATATACTTCCTTATAATTCCTGTGTCACACACTGCTGGTGTTATATATACTGACAGGTCAGTTCCATATCACTGCTGCACTTGGTGTGCCTTGTGATTAGGTATTACATTGTCTGAAGTTGTTTTTGATGGCCCTTGGAATTTCCCAGAATTTTATTTTCCCTGATTGGTCTGTACGGTTTTCAAATCTATTTCTTATTCATGAGCCTCTTGGTGATCTAGGTGAATGTGCCTGTTGGAGAATGTGGTGCACTGACATATCCCTTCTTACACTGGTTTGTGGTTAAATCCACACTTGCTCATTTTCAGGCTTGAGTAACACAAACGTTTTAGCGGGTAACAAGTCAGTTCATGCAGCAATATTGAGAGGATGGTTGGTAACATTTATAAAAATGGGTCGATTCCTTCCCGGGAAATTGGGAACAATGCCCATGCTTATATGCACACAGACAACAAGGTGCAGGGCTGGATGAACACAGCAGGCCAAGCAGCAT